TACTTGCATAGAAGTGCAATACGGGTATGTGCCGCCCGACTGGGGTGTCATTTCACGTTATTTTGTTTAGAAGTGGGTGGTCATTTATCAATGGTTTGGTTTAGAAGTGTGTAGCATTTATTCCATTTTTCACAGGTCCTTATATTCAAGGCCAAATACCGGAAAAGGCTGAATAAATTGCATCGGCCGGATGCGCTCACTGGTTGCGAAAGTTGTGAGCTGGGTGTTTTTTTCGCTAAAACACTTTTGTTTAGAAGTGGGTATATAAATAGAAAAAAAATGGTTTAGAAGTGAGTATGGTTTACGAGAGGTGGGCTTCACACCCTTACCCACTTAATGTGGAAGTAGTCCCCCGGGCGCTCATCTCATTACAACTTCGATAAAGCAAGCTAGCTTTACCTTACTCATTAATAAAAATGGTGGTTTCTAAATTGAGCTATTGCATTGTATCGCCTAGCCCTGCGTACATGGCTGTGTAGGGGTGATATTGCGCCTCCACATTCACAGACCTGTACACAGAGCTATGTACTATCGCCATACAACCCGTTATGACTGTCCCCATACACCACCTCGCATTTTCTAATAATTCCTGGATTTAGACAACGCCCACTTTTCTAGAGTTTATGGCCAGCTTTATGGTTCCAGAAAAAGATTGGCAAACGGCCCGGAACACAAACACCGCGCCGACATGGCATAAATCATAAAATACACGAAAGCCGAAAATTCGTACAAGCATGGAGGTAGTACAAGGTAGCCCACAAAATCACAGGGAGCCCAGGAACTATAATCAACTGTACGCAGTCCCTATGAGCGGGGGGGGGGGGGTATCGGATGGTATCTAGTGTAAGAAATAGACAAGGGATGAAGACTCCAGTAAGCCCATATTTTTTAAACTCCAATAAACAGACGAAAAGAATGAAAACTAAAATCTATAAAAAATACTAGCTTGAGCAATATTAGTTGCTCTTTCAAATTTCGCCAAAGACTTACTTTTATTTTACCGATATCACTAGAATATATCGAGAAAACTACACAAATTGGTTCCATTTATGAATAATTAATTGTTGCCCCGAAAGCACGGCACAGTTGGAGGCGTGGCCTGTTCAGAATGTGTCAGCAACCAATCACAAGACTGGTTACGAACTAGTTGAGCGAGGCTAACCAAGCCGTAAACTCGGTGTGGTATTGTTCCGGGGCTCCCTGCGATTGAACCCTCTTATTATTACTACACCCCCTGCAATAGTACTTAGTTCCTATTGCACCATCTGTAGTAACACGTATTTCCTATATTTGTATAACTAGGTGTTATTGCCTCCCCTGATTTTATTCCCCCCTCTTAAAATCTAAAATGTCATAAATACTCCGTCTGGGGGATTTCTATTATACTTTGATTACTTTATGTTATTTTATTAGCTACAAAAATGTTCATCATAAACACAATGGGACGTTCTGTTGTTTTGAGTGGTAGTTGTATTAACATTGCCTACCTAACATAATATTACCATTTCTAATGCAAAATATTGCTGTGTCTGACAACATTTATGATTTTGTGTGTCTCTGTGATATAATTAGTCAGTTTGATGTAGTTATAACCTGGACTCATTTTACCCCTCGAAAGTGTAACATTCTATTTTATGACCTCTGCTCAGCTGTATGTACTGTATGTTTGTTTATTTGTGGAGTTGCACAACCATCTGTGTTTGTCCTCTGTTTGGACCGTATATACTGTATACAGAAAATGTACAAGATGTTCAATGTAAATTCTGCAATGAATTTCACAAAAAGTGCAAGAAAGATGCCTCCGTCGTCTGGTTGATGTCGATCATGAGGAGACTCGGGTTTGTCTTGCAAGCGACGAATACCCAGCATCAATTTCAAGCAAAGCAGCGGAGAATGAATTTAGAATTATAAAGTGGAAAATATTTTTGTTTTTTTTATGTCGCCGCACAGATTCGGAAACGGATAATTGAAATTTCCATAAGAAGGCGCGACATTGTACTTTTTAACGTTATCCGATATTATAAGTTAGACCAAGGGCTGTCTGGGCAACTATTGGGGCAGTTCGTTTTTCTCCGATATTATCGATAGTATCGTCTAAAAATGTCTAAGTTGGACATCTGTCTTTGGGTAACTATTGGGGGAAGTTCGTTTTTCTCCGATATTATCGTCTAATAATGTCTATAGTTAGACATCTCTCTTTGGGTAACTATTGGGGGAAGTTCGTTTTTCTCCGATATTATCGATATTATCGTCTAATAATGTCTAAGTTAGACATTTCTCATTGGGTAACTATTGGGCATTTCGTTTTTTCTCCGATATTATCGATAATATCGACACTATCGTCTAATAATATCTAAAAATGTCTAAATTCGACATCTCTCTTTGGGTAACGTCCAAAAATGTTAGACATCTCTTTTTGAGTAACTATTGGGGCAGCTCGTTTTCCTCTCTCTTCTTTTTCTTCTTTTCTTCTAATAATGTCTAAAAATGTCTAAGTTAAACATCTCTGCCAACATTTCATTAGATTTTATTAGACGATAATTATCAGATAATATCAAGAAAAACTACCTTCCCCAATAGTTGCACAGACATGGGTGTATAACTTAGACTTTATTAGACGATAATATCGGCGAAAAAAACCGTAACACGAGTTAGTGATGCCAACATTTCATTAGATTTTATTAGACGAATAATTATCCGATAATGATTTATATGACATTGTCGCGCCTTTACAGAGGAAATCTCGCCGTGGCGTCAAGTTATTCCTGATGAAGAGCGACAGCATCAAAACACCCACAATAATACTAATATACAGGAGCCAAAGTTGAAGCAATTGCCATCTAAAAAAGTGGGAAAAACAGAGCCTACAAACATGGGTGCCAAATTTTACATAATGGAAGTGCGCATTAGATAACTTTTTGAATTTTGTATGAC